AATTATTTGTGTTTTTTTTTTTGTATTCCATAGATAAATTGTATTATTGTTTTATTATTATTCATCATTGGTACACTTTTAGATTAGGAAATTACATAATTTATTATAATTTTCAATTCAAATTTAAAATAACTAATAAATTAGTTATTTTGAATTTGAAAATGAAAATTATGATTAATTTTTGAAATAGTTCATTCTTAATAATCATAGGGTGTACACTTATGTATTATTATGAATTACTTTTTTATTTTGGTGCTTTCTTTTTTTATCAGTTATACAAATGTATATTTCCATCTTTCATAACATTTAATTTCATCAATTAGCAAACTACAATTATAGTAGGATTGATCTCACCTTATGGTAAAATACAATCATATAGGTTTGATCTCATCAAACGATCTTCAAGCTGTCTTTTAAACTGGACGTTAATTGATGTAATGAGGCCAAATAACTTGGCTTATGATGACCTAATTGTTGCAGTATAACTTTATAATATTTCCTGATTAAATATTTTTTTATTGCATATATCTATAGTAAACTGCATTCGGAAATAAATGCTGGATAATTAAATTATTCTAGAAGCCAAGATTTTTAGCCTTTCTTCCCGAATGAATGTCCTATTTTGAAACGTTGAAATGAAATACGGATAAATGTTTCATGCTTTCATGTTTCATTTCCATTTCTTGATGATATCGGTTTAATACGATAATTTCATTAATTGTTGAAAAAAAAGCAATAGAAAGAAGAAATGGAGTTAGTGAGGAAAGGAGAAGGAAAAAAAATACTGTATCTTACAAAAAAAGAAAAAATTCTCGTTTTGATATTTGATTTCATATTATGTTTCAAAAACAACGGAATTCAGTATATTTTCGAAATTCATCCATTCTTAGTTCAATATTTCTCCCATTTTTTCTTTCTGTTTGATGAAAAATCATTTTTGAATTTGATGCATAACTTTTTTATTATAATTAATATTTCATACCAATTTTTTGTTTATCAATTATGAGTTAGTTGTCCAATGCATTCTGTTTTTTTTTTGCTAACTTTTATTTACGATGTATTATTTTCAAATAAAAGAAATACAAAATGATATTTTCGCGAATCCTAAATTTTATCATTTGTCTTGAAAGCATGTGAAAATGAAAATTCTTCATATTAATTTTAATAAATGTTGCTTTAATAACGTTGCAAATTTAAAAAAAATGGGAAAGAGTGAATCATCGATATGGTTGGATGGATGTATTTTAATTTGAAAGTTAAATGGAGCTCAACTGATATCTTCAAATAACGTCGAAAATTTTTCTAAATCATTTGATATTGAAAAAGCATTCGATAAACAAATTTTTACGGTGGATTCGAACTTCCTGCTTAATTTTTGTAAAATTTAGCAATGGAAAGAAAATCAAAGAACGTAAATCTCACATTAACATTTCAAAATTTATCAGAAAAAACATTTCTATTAAATCGATTAAAAATGAAGAAATGAAAAAAATTATTATATCGATGTATTTTCGTCTTACAATCTGAATAAGTAATATTTCTTAAGTTTTATTTCTGATCATTATCATAGTCACTTATTTTACTTGCGTATATGCAATTAAATATTAGCAAATTCATTTAAACTAATTTTTAATAAAATGAAGATATTAAAAAACTAAAATTGAATAAAATCATTTAATTTTATAAAAAGACCCATATATTAAATTTCATTCAAATTATTTCCATTTACATCTATTTATTTATCTATCAGATATTGACTGATATTGCAATAACAACTTAAATTGATTTTTCATGCACATAGAATTAGTTAGCAATAAAAATATTCAAATTAATTTTTTATAAAATTTAAAATATCAAAACTTTAAAATTAAATACAATTTTTTCATTTCATTGAAAAAAAAA